ACGCGTTCGTTGAGCGAATAAACGACGATTCCCGTCGACCCCTGACCTCGGGTTTGGATGTTTTACTCCTTTGGTAAGACTAGAACTCACAGTTTTGTTCGTCCGGTGACAGCCAACGTAATGCTGCAGACGTAACAGACAATGAGTAATTTTTTTTCTTTAAAATACTGGAAGTCAGGGGGGCCCTTGGCGTTTTGACGGCTTAGTGGAAGGTGTGACCACAAAATACTATCTTCTAAGTAGCCCCTCCCCCCCAAACTCAACTCTAGATTATCCGCAGCGTTTGGAATCCGTACCGTATCAACTGTATTTGTTTTGTGTGTCAGCATTCAGTTGTCACCTTGTTTCTACCGGGTTGGTGCTGTTTTTCCTCCCATCTGCTGTGGAAGACATTGAGGCGGAGCCAGGCTTCAGTCCTCCCCTTTCTTTAAAAAAAAAAAAAAAACTAGAGATAAAATCGACACTATCACTTGCTTTGAGCTTTTACCCTGTGGGACATTTTCAGGGTTACTGAAGCAGTCTAGAACAAGTGTGTGCAACAGTCATGAAGAACAAGTTCATCGTGAAGTCTGGAAGAGGGCAAAGTTTTCCTTAAAAACAAAACCTCAGGTTAATCTGGAAGAGCCTTTTAGGTTAATGGTAATTTGAAAACATGCATCTCCATTTTTTACTACCTTCTGAAATCTCATTAAAATTACAGGGAAGGATATTTTGGGGTTTTTTGTTTTGTTTTTTGAGACAGGGTCTTGCCCAGGCTGGTCTCAAACTTGCAGTGATTCCCCTACCCCTATCTCTGTCTTTCAAGTTCTGAGATTAACTCCACCCCCCTCCCCCCTTTTGGGAGAACACGAAGTCACTGGGGTAAAGACCTTGGGAGATATTAACAGTTGAATAATGAACTCTAAAAAGCGGTTGCTAAACCAGCCGTGAGGAACACAGTAAAACTAGCCTGAATAAATCATAGCCTTCAGAGCACATAGAAACTGGCAGCACTAGATAGAGTTGGAGGTGCGTTGGTGTGACCAGAGATGGAAGACTTAAAATGTTTGGCTAAATCTTTTTAAGGAGCAGTAGGTATTTAGATTTGTTTAGTCCCCCTTTCACACTCTTGAGTGATTATGTTCCCCATGATTAGAAGACTAGGAGGAAGCTATTTTGACAAATAATGTTATATTTATTTATTTATTTTTGGTTTTTTGAGGCAGGGTTTCTCTGTGGCTTTGGAGGCTGTCCTGGAACTAGCCCTTGTAGACCAGGCTGGGCCCGAACTCCCAGAGATCTGCCTGCCTCTGCCTCCTGAGTGCTGGGATTAAAGGCATGAGCCACCACCACCTGGCTCTGACAAATAATTTTTTTAACTGGAGGACCCAAGGCAGTTTAATTGTAAGGATACATTTATGAAAATAAGGACCCCAAACCATAATTTCTTCATTTCTCTTTCAAATTACAAAAATTTAGTAGGCAGATTAATAACTTCCAGGCCCAAGAGAGTGGGGGTGGGATGAACAGGATAATGAGGAAACACACACACACACACACACACACACACACACACACACACACACACAGAGAC